TATTTCCTTAGTCCGCCCCCCCCCATAACTACCACTGGTTCTCTGTAGACGATATGCCGATAGCAATCCATTCTTTTCTCCTTTGTAGCCCTTAGATCTGACAAAATAGCCCATCCGCCAACTAACGAGCAGCTGTCATATGCCTGTTTTTGCCTCACTGAGTTTGTCTGGTCTCGCCTACCCTCAATTTTCTTTAGCATTTTGTCGCGCTGTTGTGGTTCGCACGTAACTCCGCTTGTTGTAGCCACAAATGTTACCTGATGAACTGGTGAAAAACAACGGGTAGAGTCATTCCTCAAGGGCACTATCTAAGCTGCTTTACCTCTAACTGCTGTTTGTTACCTTTGTCAGTCTCTAACCTCATTTATCTAGATCAATCAGCATTGCTCGTTGATCCAAGATACTTGACTTTCGTCCGAACTTGTAAGTTATGACTTAGCACGTCTAGTCATGACATCCGAGATTTCCACGGGGGTCTATGCTGCTTCTTGATGCACACCGATAAATCCTAACTGGCAACGCGCATGCTTAAATGCGAGTCTTACTGAGACGTGAAGCAGACGTAAACCTAAACAGAGTCCCCGATACCTGATGAATTCATCATGCTTCCAAGATTGAACGTGATGTCGCCATGGGAATCTGTCGTTACTGCTCCATTCCGTCTGGGTCATCGTTAGGCAAGTTCCGGGTGTGAAGCTGACGGCTCACCTATTGACAATCAACAAAGATGTGTTACAATCTGATTGAAGCGTTTTGAGGAACAGTTTAACTGACCTTTAGCTACTCCGTAATACGTCCGTTGGTCTGGATATGCCTACCATCTGAGGTGGAAATCCTAGCCCCGGGACATCACAAAGCGCCGGGTACCTATAGCTTTCTCCCAGCTCTTTTTAAAGATAGTGGAAAATGGCTTGTTAGGGAGCAGCAGTCTTATGCAATGCAAATCTAATTTACGGGGGGGGGGGAGTGAATTTGAGACCAACAAGTCTCAAAGGAATCATTGCGATGATTCTTTATGTCAGGTGTTGTGGGTTAGAAGCGTCTAACCTAAGTCAAATCGACGCCAGGGTCGATTTTTATAATGAGTACTATATATCCCGTCATTCATATACTACTCATTACAAAAATACTGAAAATCGACCCCGGCATCGAGTTGGCTGAGGTTAGACGCTTCTTAATCCCCAAATCTGCTACAGAATCATCGCAGTGATTCTTGCGAAACTTGTTCGTCTCAAATCCACTCCCCAAACTGCAAATTAGGCTTGCGTTGCATAATTCAAATCGGGTGTTCAAGTATAAGAATGACCGAACAGAAGATTACCGGACACGCATGCCTGACGAGCAGCAAGGCCCCTCGAAGCTGATCGTGTGCTTTTGGGAAAAATCGTTCATATACTAACAACAAAGTCTGTTTTTTAAGGGTTCGCATAAGCACCCGGGTTTCATCTTCTTGGAAGAAAACCGATTGCCTACTCCATCTTTGAGTACCAGCACAGTGATTGCATCCACCACAAGGATATAAGTCCAAAGGCGTTAGAGTCTGTCGTTGTTACGCAGATTGTGCAATACACCTGAAAAGCGACGGTCGCGGACGCATTGATGAAATCTTGGCCTCCAACAGTAGCAAAAGTGCGGTTGTGCTTTCTGAAAACCCAAGATAACTGTTCTTGACCATCCACGCGGGCTTCGATTCCATCGATCAAACTGCATTATCAAGCTGTTCGGAAAGGGAGTACCTGAGAAGTATGTACCGAACCTCAAAGAGTTGTATCATCAAACCTCAATTGGCGTTATAATCACCGCAAGCATTCGCAATCCTTTGCCGTGTCTAGTGAAGTGTGATAAGACTACCCTGTAATACTATTCCCTCACATCTTAGCCATAGAGGATATTCTACAGAACTCTTTTTCCTGTCTGACAAACGCTGAATTTGAACTCCTCTAGGATATACAGCTGTCAACTTGAAATATATCGATCATACCGTTGTTCTAGGTGGCAACACGTAGGTTGTCCAACATGATCGCCACACTTGGCGTTAGAGGCATCCAGATATAATAACGCTTCGCGTTTTTCCAACCGAAACAGTTACCAGATCCCCCAACCATATAACCAAATACCACTTACCGCGACGATGATCACCCTTCCCTTAAGGAAAAGTCGGATTTCGTGGCGACACCAATCGTGTCGCAGGTTTGTAAAAGCTGTTCTATCTTTCACAATCGCCAGCAGCGCTTTTAGGTGTAATCAAGCTCTGTGGGACCTAAAACTCTCGATTACTTCTAGCTCATCACCGCAGGTGGTGAGTGCAAGTACTGACTACTGACAGCGTTGTACAATACCTTTGCTTTGGGATGGCGCGAAGCACATTTGATATCTCGATTGCCAAGTGATCCAAAGTATGTTTTACTAGCAGAGTATTGCATCCCAGACAGGGGATATCATCAGTATATTCTGAGATAATAACTCGGATCCCCGAGAGGAGTTCAAGTTCACCGTTTATGAGATTGTGAAGAGCATTATGCCGAATAACCCTATAGGCAAAGCATATCCATGCCTGTTTTTTTTAAGATCGCAGGATTGCGATAAGAAAAGGCCATGATAAGTGATAAAGGTTGTTGGTCAAATATATGACCTTCTGATTAATCGATTCCATTTTCCAACGGAATTAAATGTAATTCATAGCACAGACGAATCGCTGTCCAGCAACTTTGAATTGAATTATTTCGGCTGTAACTATGATTTCTGCGAGTGATAGGAACAACATAATCTGTGTGCTTTCGTGCCTGTGTGCGGTAGATGTCATAAGACATCAAACCTGTCCTTCCTAGTCAGCATCGACGACTGTCCATTCACTGTGGACCTACCACTGCCTTGTCTTTTCGCTATTTGTTTTGCGTTAGCTTTCATTTGCCCGTATACGAAAATCAACCACTTATCGTAAGTAAACGAGTGAACTGTTATGGTTAGGGTCCTGTCACTGCTGCTTTGTATCGATAAGTAGCACATTATCTGATCATGGACTGTAAAACCTTTCCTGGTTCGATACCACGCCTAATCTAGTGGTCTTATATGGCTTGCCACTCCGGGTCCCGGTGTTTCGGTTGCCGGTCTTCGGGGCTATGGGGTTCACTTTGTCCGTTGTTGATCAAGCTTTTGCGTGCGTAACAAAAAGAAGCGATTGCAGCCGAATTGCTAACTCGTCATTCTATTATTGTGTGTACTGTGTGCATAGTTTTGATCTACGATACAATCAAACTGTATCCGTGATGAGTTGTTGTTCTTTTGCTCCTCATCTATGGCCCTCATGTTTTCTTGTTTGCAGTATATGATAGATGTGCGACTGAATCTCGTACTGAATATGGTTATCGATTTCGTCACGTATAATACGGACAATGCGGCAGAGTCGAAGAGCGGTGCGTATCTGTTCATTCCAAAAATGCCAGGAGAGGTGAGTGGTGAAAAATTGGAATTGCACTCGATAACCCCATCCCTTTCTGTTTATCACATCTGATAGGAAACTGATCAGAACTGGCCACCGATTTGATATGGTGTTTCGCGTGCGAAGGTTAGACTAGGACCAGGTAATCCCCATTCCTACATCAGAAATTCACAATGACTGTGGGCGTTCTACCTCGTATGTAACCGAAATATTGGGGGATAATGGCCTTTAGACTGTCGCACTGAAAGAATATGAGCAGAAAAATCATTTATAGAGGTGGAGCCTTTACACAAGCGGTGCATCAAGGTTCTTAGGTGAGACGGCCGCCTTACGCAAGATTAATTTCCGTAATCTACACTGAAATCCAGTTAAGTGATATACTTTTGCGGCCTCCGAAAACCTCAGTTTCGTTGAGCGTCTGTGTCTCGGGTTGTGGCTGGTCATCTTACCCTGCACCTCGTGAAATGCTCCTATACGACCAAGCGTCTCAACTAGCCTCTGCTGAGGAAGTCCGACTCACTCCCTCCCCGTGTCGGAGGTGTTTTCCCAGCAACGAAAGTGAGTTAGTGAACCACTGGCAGTTCATTTAGGGTAGTTGACTAAAACTCCTGATAGAAAACTAAATAAGGAAAGACGTACTAACCACACTCACCCACACTTTGGATGTAGCAGTGTTCACCGACTCGGTTGGACATCGAGGTTTATTGGACACCTTGGAAGTTTGACTCCGTTCAAAGGGCGTATGGCCCGACGAACTAGACACCGACTCCAAATGGATTACGTTTTTCACACACCGCCCCGCTGCTTTGCGCGCCAGACTTGGAGTAGCCCAAAGTTCCAGTTTTGCTTTGGTTTAGGCAATCTAACAGTATCGCCCCAGAGAGCAAATCATGCAATTTTTTGAATATCATTGCACCTTGATTTGTTTGGCACACAGACTGGGCTCGGACGGGTGTACAAATATAATTTACTCCCCGTAGTGAATGGGCTCTCTGATACGAGTAGCACCTCTGAGTTGGTTGACTGTCGTGTCTTTTTGGGGGCATTATTCTCTCTTTGATCTCCCGCAGCTATTGAACTGTCGCCTGTGACTTCGTTAATCTGAGGCATGCATTAGCGGTCATATCACGGGAAACTGGTCGACAGCGAACCAAAACTGATTGAGGGTAACCCAGGTCTAAAGGCCTTGGCGAGACAGTGAATAGCATTATAGTGCAACTTTTTCCTAATGGCTGGACGAAGTCGCTTGCGTGATTCAGCGGCATTTTTTTCATTGTTCATTTTTATTTCCTTTAATTAAACACATGGTACAATTTTTATGGGGAGGGAAGCGGTCAGTCAAATGGCTGTCCTACAAGACACAATGGGAAACTTCAGGCGGTGGTGGTGGTGGGCTATGAGGAAAGNGAGGAAAGCCCGACTAATTAACGGGTATGCATGAAATTCTCGTTTTTTTGTTGTACACCCAATAGTTATTATGTCCTGCTGATGATTATTGCTTATAGCCGGTTCATTTTTTCCGAGCAGTCAGTCACATTGAGGAAATAGCCATGGGTTCACCGGCCCGGGGTATAGCTCCGGATGTTCGCCATTCATCTACTCACTTTGGTGAAGGAAAACTCGGTCCACATGGCGGTAGCATGTGGGTCTTCCTCAGCAGAGGCTATTTTAAACACTTGGTTGTCGAGGAGCATTTCGCATGGTAAAGGTGATCAACCGCATACCCCGGACCCTACTGAGGCTTGTATCAATACTAAAGAAACACATGCTTTGCATCACTCGGAAACGGAGATATTGCGAAGACCTAGGGGGCTACGAAACTTTTGTTGTGGGTTATAGAAACGGCCCGGTAGCCGCCTAGTAGCTTCAGTTGACTTGAATGGTGCGCTACGGGCCATTTAGTCCGAGGTTCAAACCTTGTTTCTATCTTCACGGAACTTTTCTTAAAACTATTTTCGCTATCTTCTGCGCGAATATCACACCCATTCTATAATAGATCTCGCTTTGTTCCTTACTTCCAACCCCGGGGGGTTAATCGACGGTTCCTACAGCCGAGTTAAAGACATCTGCTATGATGGAATAGACCTTTTTCACAAAAGAGCACCTTGGAAAAACGTACCAATGGGTTTAAGTGTACAAAAATATCAGATTGATATGTTGGATTCATCTATGTACATCTGTTTGTAGATATTGCTCATGCGGTGGAACTGTTTTCTATCCATCGACCGATTAAGAAGTTAAGGTTTCTATTCTCATCCTATTCATTCTCTGTTGTTCCCTTATCCAGGTGATGGCCCTACCATCCACGCCTAACATTCAAATTATTCGTGGCCCTCTGGTACAGGAAATCACTGTGCACACTCCGCTTGTAAATCACACGGTCCGCTTGCATAGATATCGTGAGTTCCTTCCTCTCTCTCTCTCTTCCCCTCCAGCAATGTTGTTCACTTCTATGCGTATGTTTTTACGGCAATCGACCGGGACTAAGGGTTTCATTTTGAATGTGAGTCACACTCTTCTCGTCTAACTAGAATCAAATACAAACATGCTGTCCGTCTGGGTTGATCGTCCATTTTGAGACGTACCTACACATAGCTGTCTCTTCCATTTGGCCCTCATTGTACCTCGGGTTGAATTTGCTTGTTCCTGGTTGTACTCCGTTTAGGTCTGCGCTTATGCCTTGGGATAGCGCTACAATCTTACATTTTTGAATGAACGTTTTGTGCGTGCTGAGCTAGTCAATTGATTTTGCCACTCGCAACCCTGTCATTGGAAGCGGCCGCCGCTGTGTGCGCTTTTCAGACAGGTCTCGGGAATAGCATTTTCAGGTACAAACTTGAAGCAAAACATGCGAATAAGCATATCCCTTAGTGTACTGTGTCGTGTCATGTGTGTGCGTGCGTGGGCGGGTTTTACTGTTGTCTGGTAAGTAAATCACTCGTTGGTCGTCTCATCCATACCTTGTAGAACAATCTGACATGGATATTCACCATCGTGTTGTACTAACTGTGATGATATAGATCTATACTGTTCAACTGTGTGAAATTGTGGTAAGAGCTATAGCGTGCCTCATACAAACGTATATTCAGTTGTTATTCAGTATTGTCTTCGGAGCACATAAGCACATGAATGCACCGACAAACTGAACAGCAAAATAGTCTATAACATTGATTGGTTACTCAACGCGTCAGAGTCAGTCTGTTCGGCTTATTCCGTAACTAAGCTGCCAATAGGACTGGGATTATGGCTCATTAAACTGTGATATTGACCTTTGAAGCGGAGTGATTACCTTTGAGTCAAAGTACATGCGCCATTGTACGTGGTCTGGAACCAATACAGGGCCATAGGGTTCAATTTATGGGTGTATCACAACATTTGAAATGTCGTTAAAGCTGAAAGTACGAAGAAAACCTGGAAACGCATAAACATACAGGGAATGCCTGCTCACGTATGTGGGTGTTTACACTATCGCTGAATGAAGCCTACTGCACTGGTATCGATCCACACCGGCCATAGGAGATGGATCGGTCAGCGTCAACAAGCATCGGTCAATAGAAAGCGATCAAGCTGGTTGGACGGTCAACGTGACTGTGTGACTATAACTGCGGTGGTGTGGGAATCTAGGATAGATTGAATTCTTTCCAACCGAAACAAACACACACATATCACCCGTTGAAATTGGTCTGTCACAACAAACGCTGCCGTACTCTGTATTCTACTCATGCTATCTGGTCATTAACGGTCAGTTGGCGAGACTAATTCTGCCAACTGATTTCAACTTTATAACTCCCACTACTTCCACCCCGGACTTTTTCCGATCTTCCGCCTTTGTTTCCGCTCTTGGATCGTATCCTAATCTCGGAGTTTGCTAGTGAACATTCGGAAAGAATTCTGCGCTTAGCCAGTTTGATCGGTAAACCGATTTTTCTATTAGCAAACAATATTTTTTGCGTGAGATTTTGGTTCAACTGTTTTTCTCCCGGGAACATCATACTCCTAACCCTTGATAAAGTAAGATTAAATAATCTCTTCGTGCACCTCAACGGGTGAGTATTCGACAACCTCATGATCACTACCTAGAAAAAATGGCCTGTACACTGCGCTACAAAAGTATTGTGACCCCTAGTTTTTTGTATTATCTCCGTACACGATCATTACGATTCTCGACAATCCAGATGACAAGAGGCTGAAATTTCACATTCTCAGTTCCATCAAATTATCTTCCGTTTTAATGATGGTGGATCGAAAACTACTTTTTTCCCATTGTATTGTATATAATGTTTGCAAGCGTTGAAGGTTACATTTCGGTTAAAAACAGATACATGCGAACCGTCACAGAGAACATATTCAACGCGGAGATGTTTACGGAACTTAGAACATTTCATGGTACAAGTTTGGAAAGAATTTCACTTTTTTCCCTCTGTGAGTAAACGTACAAGATAGGGTGTAGGTGAATTTCGGTAAACGTTTAGGCGAGATAAAATTTGTTGGAATCAAGAGTTTGTGGGGCGATGGGAATGACAACGTGTCCGTTGTGTGTGCAATGAGTGATCAGGATCTGTAAGAATCCTCTGGGCTAATTTCACGCAGGAAATTATATAATACTCTGAAGCTTTCACAGTTAACTCGTTCACGGGAGTGGGAGAAATACGGCTAATAATCGTGTTTGAGTAAGCCAGGAAAAATATCTGGGAAACAGAAGAGTAAGATGGGGAAAAGATACTAATAAACAAAGGTAGAAATAACTGACTGGAATGAGTGAAACTGCCTGAGCTTTCGAATTAGAAATGATAGACGCCGCAATTTACCAATGCAGGTGTGGATTTGGGTTGGTCAACAAAGATTCCGATCTATATTTACACCAAGATATTTGACAAAATCCACCGTAGATGAATGATTGTTCATCACCGTAGGGTCTGTCACATATGAAGAGTGTGCGAAACTATGTAAACTATGTAAACACACTTACTGGGGTTTGAAGTTAGTCCCGATAGGGAGGAGAATGACTGAGTAAGATGAATATTATCGGCGAAGGAGCTTAGATCGGAGGAAGAAGCAATGGGTTGGCACAGCACAACATCATCCTCATATTTCAAAATACGTACAGGAGAAACACAAGGAATATCACAATTTTACGTTAAAAAGTAAGTATGGGGATAGCACAGATCGTTGAAGAACTCCAGGGTTGTTAACTAAGGGTTTAGGTGAAAATTTCTCAAGTCTAATGGTTTGTTCTTTATCAGTAAAATAGTTGGATAGCCAAGCTAAAAGTTACTTAGAACATTTAAACGACTCCAGTTTCTGTAACAACTTTGATCGGGGATTGGAACAAACACTGAATAGACGGAGTTGTTCAGAAAGTTAATGATAAAGTGAATAAGAATAAAGACTACGTTTGAAGTGGATCTATTTGGCTTGTAAGCAAACTGTAAGGCATCGTTGGGAGTGTTCATAGACTGATGACGGCGTTTGAGGATAGCCTTTTCAGTCAGTTTAAAAGCTGAAGATGTTTACCTTATGAGACGAAAACGTTTGGGGCAGTTCGAAAATTTGGATCCTTTGGGAATTGGTATGATTTTGACCGGCCTCCAACAGTCGGGGATAGTAGTCTTAGGTGTTTAATTTGCAGTCGAGGTGATTTCTCCAACTAGAAAAGCAGCACCAAATTCAAATAGTACTGGATGTAAACCATTCTGGTCTACAGCAGCGAACGGATTGCACCTATTAAGAAGTTTTAACACATCGCAAATTGAGAATGGTTCCACATCATAAACATTGTGACGAGTATGCTACCCTGCTATCACCCGGCTCACTACCACGCCCAACCCATTAAGGCCTTATGTGGCTCCAAGTCTCAGGGTTGGGTTGCCGGTCCTCTCTTACTTTACCTACGAACATACACGCCCCATATCCCTCACAAAGTCATGCTTTTCGTTATCAACAAAAATTATAGACAGCCCTTCACATTCGTTACATCAAGATCTTATTCTATGTGTGTCCTCCTGATCCACCCGGCCCTAACCAGGAGACTAGGTCACATAGGCCCCGTTAGGCTCCCTGGCTGGGGACCTCGGGATGATGGTCACCGATGGTTAGCTACACTCAGTGATATGGCTGGGTGTCGCAAACAGTGGCGCTCGTGCACCCGCTCGTTATTTTCCTAACACCACTCTATATGTATTCCCCATCTTCCGCTTGAATGTGCTTCGACATTCCAATCTTCATTTAGCTATTTTATCCAAATGGGCAACCAAAACCGGCGCACGAATGTGTATGGTTAATGGTTGTAACAACTGAACTCCACCCGGCCCCGCTATAATTGTATATTTGCTCGGTCTTTTGTGGTGCCTTATCTTGCCCGATTTCTTGTTAACCCAGAACGCATCGCTTCGGA